GTAGAGGGCGCTCCTATAAAAAAATAACTTGTAGTGTATGTATATCTCTGTAAACCATGGAAGGTAAGTGAAAGCTGCATATACCATGTTTCAGCAAATTTAGCTACTGTAAAAGGTTTAATTATTCACTGGGTTTTAATTTTGCTTATTTAGGTGACTGGAAAATGAGCTAAATGAAAACCCAGTGAATATATGTAAAATTGACCATAGAACACATTATCCAAATGATAAAGCCGTGAATTTAAAACCCACTGAATATCCCTGAAATGCTACATCAGTGAAATGTAAACCCAGTGAAAATTAGTAATTTTACAGTACCCTGTAATTTTGCATTACATAAGTTCGCATCTCGCCAAACGATTCTGTATCATCGAATCATCGGCGCACAGGTTTCATCATGCCTTGGAATGTACAGTGATTTTATTCCCGTCCGTTTTCTTTGTTTTTCTAGTGCGGTGTGTGCCAGTGCGATTGTCAACAACAGGATTACGAAACTATCAACTGCCTCTGTTGCAAAATAGATATGCACTGAGCAGGTAGTCGGACGACGTCGCCAAATTCACACAACTTGAAGACCGCCCAGTTCAGGATACCAGCGTGTTCAGTTGCACTTCATTTGACCATTGGACAGATATCAATGAGTTCGAACAACAGAATTTCTGTGATGCGATTGCAATGCTAGTCATAGAGTCCCACGAAATAAATGGAGGAAGGCCATCGATGACATTCAAAATTATAAATAATGTATTTATGTAATATAACATGTTTATCTTTTCCCACAACGTACAAGAATGTTCATGAGGCGAAGCCGAGCAACTGATAAAGTATAAATTGTTATCGAATTTAATTTAATATGGCATTTGAAAGTCCATACGAATGGGCATGTTAACCGATAGTTTATTTTCATGTTGTCTTATTTCCGTCCAAAATATAGCGTAGCTTAAAAATATTTTCCAGTAGTCTGAACTATGTACATGAGCGTAAAGTTCATGATGACACGTCGAGTTGTAATGTAAACTTGATGAATTTATTCCGCGAAATGCTTTGTTTAGTCCATTCACACAATAACAAGATGATGTAATGCTCTAGCGCATCATGGCAATTCACATTAATGACGTAATGCCATGCTTGATACATGCTATTGTGGAACATGATAAACACGATCTAGATAACGGCTGTATTTACTTTGTAGTTCATATGTAGTTTAGATATTAAAGCGGGGAAGTCGTCACCTACGCATGCGTCAGGCGGCGGTCAAGTGTCTACCCATGAGCATTTGCGTCCTTAGCGTGTGTTGTTCATTCTCCTTCCCAGAGTTCTTTGCGGCTAGAACACCGAGATATATTCGTAAATAGAACTCTGCCAGGGAGATTGTGTGTTGTTATCATCGCTTGGGACTCAATTCCCGCGCGTGCGCAGGTGACGACCCTCCCACTTTAATTCAAATTGTAAATAGGTTGTGTACGATTTGTGAATAAATTAGTTGAACACTCCGTACCCAGATCAGTGTCTCATTTAAACACACAGTTGAGTAAATATCCGCACAAACGCCAGTAACAACATAGAATTCTAACTCAATATTTGAGAGTGTATCTGATCCGTATCGCTGTCACACATGGCACCGACACATCGCCAGTATACGGTGTCAACAATAAACATTCCAAAGTTTTTGTTGTAGAGGGAATGCGAAAATTGTACAACATGTGCAATAACTGCATGGTTTGGGCATCAATTCGGAGTGGAGACGTTCACACATTCTCGGAAGGCGTAGTCATTTATTAGTTCTCGGGCTAGAAAGGATGCACACATAATAAATGGCCTTGAGTGGTTACAATAATAGTGAAAATATGTCTTACCTAGGGATTAGTCACCACGAACTTGATTCTGTCAAGTGCACATTAGCGTCAGTAGTGCAATTAAGTTACTGCCAATTTGAAACCAATTGATATTATCATTTTTCATTGAGATCACATTATTCAGTGCGAGGTATTTTGCATATAATACAAAGTGGACATATAACTTTCCCTCCCCCAAACTCCAAGACCCGAGTATTCTCCTACTCTTACTTATACCTGTTGTTGTATACTCATATCCGTGTCGACGCGAGACTGGACTCTCATGGGAATTTAGTTTATTTTTCATGTGTGCTTTAGTGGGTTATCTTGTCTACTGCAAATAATTAGGCCAAAGCATTGATACGTCATGATAATGATGATGGATGGATATGTCACATGTTGCCTGTTTTGACTCAACAGATTAAAAAAAGTGCGTTAACTATACCAGGCAGTTGCAGTTGTTTACGTTTGGTGGGCATGTGAATGGCTTGACACCAAAGAGGTTATTTGCATCTGTGTTTTCAAGTGTAATAAAATTAGAATTGTCTGTCGTCTGTCCATTCCATTCCATTCCATTCCATTCCATTGCATTCCATGTTTAGGACTCGTTTAGACTAAATAAAAGAACCCCTAGATCTTCCTCGCATACGAACTTCACTATTAATTTACCGTCTGTGACATGAAACGTTTTAAAAATTATGTATTTGGATTATCAAAAATGGGTTCCAAGTCTCCAAAATACAAACTGGTTAGTATTATTACTGACATTTCACCATACAGACGTTTTAATGCAGTTCTATCAGACACATTTATGAACATCATCGTTTTAAGTATCAACGTCGGCAATATACTTCGTAAAATGAAGATAACTCCAAACATACTTTTTATTTATGTTTTCTGTTTCCATTTTGTCTTGCAAATATATACGTTCAAGTATGACAAGTATATATATATTCAACCAAGGAGTCCAAACTATCTATTTTCATCAAAGGCAATCGCCAACAGTACTGAGATGTAATCATTTCTAGGAGTGGTATAAACCAAATATGAATATTGAAAAGTTACCAAGAAATTTAGAAAAAAAAATGAAATCAAGATCACTTGCTGAGGTGTTACAATGAACACTTTTGGTTTTTGCACTATATATACTACCATACAATATGTCGGAATCCAAGTAAAAAAACTATCGGAGATCGCGACTTACTAAGGGCCTCGTGAAAGAGGTGTATGCATTAAAAAAAAGGATATAAAGCAATTATATACACACATGAGTTTATTTATACGCTTTCTTTATGAAAACATCACAGCGCCATGGCTCTATCGATGACTTCATTGTCAGATCATTTCCGACTGATAGATCACGTGCAACCCGTGACTTGGTTTCCCCTGTCTTGATACTGTCAATCGCAAGAACAGACTGGATAGCTTTCGTTTAACCACGCTGCGCATTCAACTCATTAAGCTAAATCAAAGAGCGACTGGCCGAGAAGTACGTCGCGACTTGACACCTCGAGCCAGGCCGCCGTCACCATTTGTATCTCAGTAATTGACAGACAGTATGTGTTACAATGTCTCCACTGTCGTTAACAGCCAATTAAATACATGATGAAACGAAAACTTTTTTTTTTACTTCAAAATTGTATGCAAAACACAATATAGTTTTTGAGAGCCATCCAACTAACCGCGACTTAGCCGAAAACGCGAATTATTGAGGCGCGATTTAGCGAGGGATCATTGTACGTGTTCTACAAATGGTTCTAGTCTCTACAAATACACAGTAGTTGGATATAATTCTACATACTTTGAGCAACAGTTTTCTACATGGAGATGATATTTTAAGTAATAGTTAAAACAAAGGGTACAAAGAAGTCAAATCCTTTAAATTTCAAATTCAGACATTGATGATGTACTTTCAATCAATGTGTTGACTTGGAGTTGTGATTGGTGCAAAGTATATAGAAGCACGTATAAGGACAGTCTAATTGGTGGGTTTACAGTGGCGGATCCAGAGGGGGGGCAGCCCCCCCCCCCAAACGCATGACGATTCATATCATCTGGATTACGTATAGCTTCTCTGCGATTTTCGCTCCGTATATCTTAAGCGAAGCTTGCCCCCACCCCCAATACATTTTGCTGGATCTGCCACTGTGGGTTTATATTTATAAGGGCAATAAATACCCAAAACTCCCAGTGTATCTAAATGGAACTTGTATCATTTGGTAACGGAAATAAAGAAGAATCTCTCGCTGGAGTTCGAGAGCGGCTCTCGGTAGACGGAGAGTTGCCATGAGACGACACCACCTGACAGAGAACGACACATATATCTGAATCTGGTGCTTGTAGTTATTGTATCAAAGGACGATATCTTGTACTTACCACACGGTGACACAAAAACATTGTCAGCACAAAATCAATAGTTTTGTAATTAACGATTAACATTAAAGTTCAAAAAGTGTTTCAGCAAATATAATGAGCTTATGGTCACAATAACACTGTTACAAAGATGCTTTCAAATGGCATTATTGTAACTTGCAATTGTCTGATGTAGACCAGCTCATTGATCATGACTGATATATGGCGGGTATCATCTATGGAAAAGGATGTGCTCACTCCCGTATTCTATGTATACCACGGAGACACATATCTTTCTCTTACTTGATTTGACTATGTAATGTAGTTGTTCTGTTTTTGTTTTCTATGTATTATTTAAACATGCTCAACAACTCCCATAATTCATCCCATTCCATATTTTTATGTATGTTGTTCCAGTTATTATTCAGCGGTGTCCCCTATCTAATTTGTAGTACGTGTCGTGTAGTATATATATATATATATTCGTAATATATATATATATATTCGTAATGTGCCTGTAACTCATTTTCAAATCGTTACAACATCTACGTGTGATATCGTCTCTGCTGTTGCGTTCTCAAATTTGTCATTGATTGCCTGTCTGGATGCTTATCTATCATAAATATGGTACAGGGAGGGACCGTGCCCTCTGTACTGATTGTTAGAATTCACGTAGCAGTGCCTATTATGGTCGGACATTTTACACACACGGATTCTTGTAAAATACAAAGTGCACAAGAGTAAGTCCCCCTGGTGGCTAAGGGTATTAAATACCAATCCAGATGTTCGTTTTCATTGTGTTTTGAACTAAAGTTGAGAATATGAAGACTCTACTGGTTATACTCTGTGTGGCTACTGTTGCATATGGTAAGAATTGTCCATATAGTAATTGACAACATACAATTTTTGAGTGAGACTTCTCAATCAATCGAGGATGATTACATAAACATAGAAATGTTCAAATATGACCCTTTCTTTATTTTCAAATATGATTATCACATCCCATATTCGTAGAGCATTTCGGTTCAACGTTCCTAATAATATCATCCCAGGGACCATTTTTTTTTTAATGGAAAAATAAACAATATATTCATATTCGTCAAACAATCCGATGCCGGATCCGGAGTTAGGATCCTAATTTTCAAGTTCAACTGGCAACTTGATGGGCTATTGGTGGTGTATTGGTGATGACAAAGGCGTTTCGATACGTTTTACACTAATGTTCTTATACTTCTCGTATTAGCCGACGAAAGATGCGAAAGCATGGGTGGTACCTGTCAGCTTGACAGTCTTGCGTGTGTAAATGGTCACTATCGAAGCGGATTGTGTTCCGGTGGTGCTGACAGGAGATGCTGCGTTCCTAGTAAGTGTCGCGCCTTCTTATTATTGTATCTCAGTCCTAGCGGGGTGCGGTGCTCAATATGAATTGTATTGCACGTTTAAAGCATGTAAACTACTTTGTTTATATTTACAAACACGCTCTGCATGGCGCTTTTACAAAATGGAGAAATATTTTCGTTAGGCTAAAACATACAGATGTTATGTTGGCAAGGAATTGCCGCGGAGTTTGGTAACTACAAACGTCTGAAATTCAAGCTGCAATTTTCGAACAAACCCAAATATCATTTCTGTTTGCGCAGCACTAACGCTCAACAACAAATCTGGTCGTTTTTAAAAGTGTTGGGAAAGGTTTCTGGCTAGATTTTGGCTACTCAATACTACTAGTATTTACACTCATATCCTGTAGCAAGTTGTGTAAACTGTGGAATTAAATCACAGTGACTCAATTGAATTTGAGTTACTTTTGTTAAATTAAAAATAAATCCACTCTTTCTAATCGAGAAGAGCGACACATGTATATTTCATGTACGTCGTCTACGCGTGTGACACACGTCATCGATTTCATACACAATAAACAGTTACGCTTGTCTACCCCCTCGTTGCATGGATATCGGGGGTACCATCATGATCGTTTTGAAAAATGGAGAGTTGTTTATTCTAATTAAATGTGTTATTCCTTTAGCATTTAAAAGTGTTACCCCAACTTTCTTTAGTTGTTCTTCTACTGTAAACTGCGTTATTTTACCTGGAATTAATTTTCGCTAAAAATACTTTTTTTTGGTGCTTTGTAATGGAGTTTATTTTCATTGATTTTTGACGAGTTGAATGTAAAATATAGAAAAAAGGGTATATTCGCTATTACTTTTAGCATTCAAACACGTTCTAAATGTATACAGCCAGAGGTGCATTACTAATGTACCTCTGATACAACTGAATCGCAGATTTAACAATAGGTTAAACAAATGCATTTAAATATGCTGTATTCATTTGCATAGAATTGATTGCGAACGGCAATCCTGTATAATAGGGGTGAACCATTTGAATTTATGGGGTGTCAGCTGGAAGATTGACACCGAGAAAAAAAAGTGGATGAAAGGTGCTGCAGGAAGAAAATTACATTTGGGAGGAAATACAGACAATGCGAACAAATGCAAAGCGGGGAGTCGTCACCTGCGCATGCGTCAGATGGCCATAGCGTGTCATTGTTTACAAACAAGCGTCTGCCCATGAGCCTTTGCGTTTTAGTGTGTGTTGTTACGTCGCTTGGGACTCAATTCCTGCGCGTGCGCAGGTGACGACCCTCTCGCTTTAACCCATTACATCACTGTGTTTATTGCAGGTATTTACTGTGGTGATGTACAGGTGATTACCCGAGCCCAGTGGGAGGCACGAGACCCAATATCCAAAAGCACGATGCCCACACCTGTTGATCTGAGCTTTATACACCATACTGCCGGTAACAGTTGCTATAATATTGATGATTGCTGTGCACAGATGCGTAGTATACAGAACTATCACATGAATGACAACGGTAATTATCTTCGTGTTAATCAAAATGCGGCCCTGGGCAGTCGTTAACTGTCGTGTGCATGCAGCAGATGGCGTTAGCGAGTACTCGTAGTTTACAAACAAGTCTCTGCCTATTCTCGGGGGCGGACATCCGGGCATTTTCACCGCCTGGCAACCCTCACGGTGAAAACAAAGGCCAAAAACTCGCAGAAAACGGTACTTGGGGATGGTTGTTGAGACTCCCCTGAACAGTGTAACAAGATTAGCCCTACGTGTGGAACATATATAAATTTGGTTGTTCAGGATTACTTCAAAGTTGAGTTTGTGTTGTTTTCTCATAGAAATGCATGGTACAGTGGTGCGCGTCTTAGCAACGCGGAACGTCTGTGACGTGGGTCCGCCCCCGAGGATAAGGCGTACAATCCAAACACTGGCGGCGCTCTCACTTCCGTTTCTTTAGTACCGAACAAAGGGAATGGTAATGAGAACGCCACCAGTGTTTGGAGTATGTGTCATCGCTTAAATAGAGTGTACTTTAGGACTCAATTCTCGCCCATGCACTGCTTTCTGCTTTTCACTGTATATATATTTGCATAGCCGCATATATAGTTTAGTTATACTAGGTTTTTGAGAACATGTGAACCTTTTTTATGACCAGGCCGATAAAACATTTACCCCCTGAAGACCATCGAGTTTCATTCAAATCACAGATTGACGGTTGAGAAACCGAGTAGACCTTTTGGTAACTTTCCGTCTCTTTGTTTCCTCCTAAATCTCAAATTGATTTGACTGTTTGCAGGAATGTATTTTGAATAGTATTAGTAGTATGATCACTTCTGTTTGGTATGTGTATTTTATATTGTAAGACATACACATTTTAGGTAGGGAAATTGTGGTGATGGGTCGAAGCAATCTCCCAGGCAGAGTTCTATTTCTAGTACTTTCGGTGTTCTAGCCGCAAGGAACTCTGGGAAGGAGAATGGGGTTGAGATCACATTGACCGTAGTGCAATTATATGTGGGAGATATTCATCCGCTGAGAGATTGTATTGACAAATTTGGTTTCAACCGTCGTCAGAAATTTATAAAAATGTTATATAAACACTTACAGATTTCTGAAATATATGGTATGTCTGTATGTGTATATGTTTCGGTCTTATGCATGCAATTCTGCGATTTATTTGAAGTTCAATATTTTTCTGTAGGGTGGAATGATATCGGATACAGTTTTCTGATTGGTGAAGACGGCAACGCATACGAAGGGCGTGGTTGGGGAGTAGAGGGCGCTCATACTAGTGGTTATAATGATGTTTCACATGGAATGTCATTTATGGGCACATACATGTCTCGCCTGGTAAGTGCACACCTTATAAACTCGCAACAGAGATAACGATTTAGCACACTAGGTCAATGTGTTTCGTGTTTTTAAACACATATTTTATTTTATTCATTTCATTAGCCGAATACTGCAGCCATGGATGCTTGCTACGACCTTTTGCAATGTGGCAAGGACGAAGGGTTCATCACAAGATTTGGTCACTGCATTCAGGGTCATCGTGACGCAGGTACGACGTCATGTCCGGGAGATGCACTTTATAATGACATGCAGTCATGGCCTGAGTATTGTTAAACTGTACTTGGTTGAATAAAAACAATAATCATAATAATTAATTGAATGTGGCACTTGAGTTATATTTCCAGGCACAATTTTTCTTTTCAAACTCGTACGACGTCAGTCGCGCTCATTAGTTCTAAATCTTATTGGAAACTTCGGCATATAACCTAATTTAAAGGGCGGTGGTTGTCGCGCCGCGCATGTGGGACATTTCTGTTAGTGGACAGACTACTTCGACACCTCACAATCACCAAATATTAAAGCTTGGTAGTGTCCCAGTTTGTACTCCATCTTTGTTTATATGAGACCCATATCACACGCATGCGTGGCACGACAACCATCGCCCTTTAACTAATTTTACACTGGGACATACCCTTTCTCATGCCTCGCCCTCTAGAGACGAAGCGCTCCATTAATGCGATGTGAATAGTAAGTTACCTCATTCGCAACTTCGATTTATATATATAATGTACTATATTTTAAATGAGGAAATTACATCACAAACACACATATGGTCCAAACGAGGACAGCTTGCATGTTTAGGGTAGACATTATAAACATATATTACAGGAAATTTATAAATAGACTGTATACTAATTGTATTTCGTGGTGGCCACTTTGCAAGGCTTTAATCGTGAGACACATTCCTGGTAACCACGTGATCGTGCCAACGACTGCAGCGATTGGCTGATCGCATGTTTACTTTGCCACGTTTTTGAGTTGTATGATAGAGTTTGTAAGATTTGTAAGAAAGGAAGGAAGGAGGAAGAAAGGCGTTACCTCCGCTGACTGTTTGGTTGAATAAAGCTTAGTGGCGGATCCAGAGGGGGGGGGGGCATGCCCCTCAAACGCATGACGATTCATATCATCTGGATTACGCATAGCTTCTCTGCGATTTACGCTCCGTATATCTTAAGCGAAGCTTGGACCCCCCCAATACATTTTGCTGAAGACGCCACTGATAAAGCTAGTATTCATTTGGGTTGAATATGGTGTCTGTACGTGTAAGTGTTATCAGCCAAGCGAGACAAAGTTCCCCGAACACAACGCAGTGTTCACAACAATCTAGGCAACGAAGCAGAGTTGTCCGATTGAATGACATTGCTCACTCGCATACCAATACCTACGTTTCCCGGGTGTACATCTCAAAGGTAGATTGCCCGTGAAGGGTGTGCAAGCCGAATGGGGTACTCCGATAGTTTAAGTATACGCCCCCCCCCCATTGCACAGCCGAACCCCCCAGTTTTAAGATTTTTTTTTGCGTAAAGAGCCCTCAACGGCGATATTTTTTCGTTTGTTTTTCAAGTAGTTTGGAGCACCTAAAATCTACGTGAGCACCCCCCCCCCACACACACACACAGCGAGTGCAAGCAAAACGTCACCGCTTTAACCATGGCGACAAATATAAACATGTCAATCTGCCAGTATTCGGTAAAAAGAAATCGTATTCTTGTCAAGTCGATTCACAGTCAGTTGGCGTACACGTCATAATAAAATAAATGCGATTACTAATCTACCGATGTTTTAGGCAACATTAAGCCAACCGTTGGCTAAGCGCTAACAAAATTTAGTGGAATTTGTCGTTTCTGGTATGGAAAAATCTCTTGCGTACGAATACGTCAATACGAGAACATAGAACACTTTCCCGCAGTATTGGAAACCGAAATCGTCATGTTATGCCCATACTGAATTGGAATATTATAATCATTTTATAACGATATTGAGATCATGTTTCTTTTCTATTTTATCCATTTATTTTGAATATTAGCTCAAATATAAAAAAGACCAATGACAGATAATATCTAGTTTATACCAAATCTGATCCGTGTTGATTCTTTTCTCTAACAAATAAAAAATTTATAATGTTTTCAGCCGGCTTTTTATTTCGGGACGAATGTTGCGTCGTAGTTCGTATATTCACAGTGGCGAGGCGCAATGACGAGAACTGCTGCTGATGGCTCACTGAAATCATATGTTTTAAAACGTGGTTAAAAGGAATACATGTGGATAATCTTGGACGTGAACGTAAACCGTTATGGTGTCATGAAAAGACACTTAAGGTCTTAAGGCCGGGGAAGATAAAATGTCAGGTAACATCTACACAGCTTCTTCACTGACTCGGATTGCAGCGTGTGTGATAGTAAAACAAGTGATTTCATCGTCAATACGTCATCGTCAATACGTCAAAATTAGTCATGAACTATAAAGTATAATACATTGTAACTGGTTTTTTTAACAATTTGTGAACTTAAAATTCAAAAAGGTCTCATATGGTATCTATTATCCCTTTATATTATGTCTGTGACAGCTTTAGGTGAACCAAAACAAAATTCATGCGACTGACTTAACAAAGTGTGTCCACCTCTTTAATTGTGACAGAAAAAGTGCAGCTCTCCCATCAAATTCCCCCCTCCCCCGTCTCTTGGTAATTTATATCAAGTCCCTTATGGAGGTTCATGGGAGTCACCAAGCATAAAGTATTAAATATAATAGAAAGATGCAATGCAGATCTAAATATGATTAAATCAAATACATTAGGAATAACTTTGAACTGAAATTAAGTTGAAACACTTAATATATAAACCAGTTTGTTTTTGTCTGACACATGTGTGTCTATTTGTTTTGATTTGTGATGTGATGGATGATACTATGTAACTTGCACGTTTATGGGGAGTACTGTAAACCTGCCACAAAAATGATTTATATGATATCGGTAAATGAAGGTTAAAAGTTGCAGCTTAAAATACTTGGCTACTCCGGATTTGAAAAACAATATTAATATTAATCTGTAACCAAAAATCAACTCGAATTATTGTGAATGAAATTTGAGAGTTATCACAGTAGTGTAAATAACCAATATGTATTTTACTTGATAAGACGAGATTTCATTGGCGGAGGAGATGATGACCCTTGCTTACGTCAATATTTGCGTTGACAACTTGGTCTTGTTGACACGCCACTATATCATCTTCTGTCAGAACCCGCCAAGTCACGGCATCGTGAAAACATGTACAAGCCAAGGGAAGAGGATGAGACCGCCGACGACTCAAACAATTTCCCAAACTGTACAGTTGCAACAGATGAGAAGGTGCTCTCATCATTTGACAATGGTCATGATGCGGGAAAGAGGGAGCAATGGGCCAAAAAAGCTGATTTCATGCTTGCATGTATAGGGTATGCTGTCGGCTTAGGTAACGTCTGGAGGTTCCCCTACCTTGCCTACAAAAGTGGTGGAGGTGAGTATGTTCATGGTACTAATCATCAACCTATTTCACCTGATCAAATAGGCATGATATGCATTTAGTTGCGTTACTACATTACCACTTTGTATGAGTTGTATATTTGTCAAAAACTATATTTAAATTATTGATTTATTAGACAATACGACGACCTACAAAATACAGGCTACCTTCAGTGATTTCAGGATTTGTTTTCAAAATAACTATTTTTTTCGATTTTGTTATCATAGTGATCACAATTATCAGTGTGCGTGTGTGTGTGTGTGTGTGTGTGGTGGGGGTGTTCTGCATATAATACACACTGGGAGTGCAACGTTAATGAGTCTGAGATTGAATCAAGTATAGTAGTTACAACCGTGTGTCTGAGCATTGTTTAATCTCGACGACCCCATGACCTCCACTTATTATGTAAATAGTATGATATGCGATATTTAAATAGTATGAGACTCCCTAGTGGAATATGATATGCAGGCCTAGAACGAATGTTGAATATTAAATTGCAACAAAAGATTTAGGATTTATAGCGACGGCAATTCCCATACAGTTACACTGCCATAACCTCACATAGACCATAGTCTATGCACAAGCCAATGTTAACACATAAATAAACACATCCTTAAAGATTGTAATATATTGTGCCAATGCGTATAGACATGTTGTTTTAACGTTTACAGACAATCCATAATTTGTATACGACTGAATGTCTACTTATAACGCAAAAACATTGTCCTCATCCAATCATTTTATTGTATTAAGGTAGAAGTCTAATCAAATTCAGAG